AGTTTGCGCCGCGCCACTTTGGCTTATTCCCTCCCCGCTGGGCAGGGCCACGTACCACCTGCCAGGTGCCAATCTACCACCGGTGGTACACGTATGCAAAGCCCTGGAATAGAGAACAAGCGAAAGTATACAATGTCATCAAGAGAGTAAAGGAATTGAAATGGAAATGAGCTGGTCACATAGCAAGAAGAACTGATGGCAGGTGGACCAAGGCAGTCATAGAATGGATCCCACTTGATAAAAACCATCCATGAAAGAGATGTAAAACAAGTTGGATCAATGACATCAGCAAGTATTGTGGGCCCAATTGGCCATATTGGTTGGAAACATGCAGAAGAGGCCTTCATCCTGTAGTGGATAGACAATGGCTAAAATGATGATGACAAGTATATTGTAATAAATGAAAATTTCAGAATTAAAAAAAAATTAAGAAATTACTGCCCACAGTGATAAATCTATATCCAGAGAAAAAAGTCCTCTTAGTTTATTTGGAAGTTTCCAATAAAAATTACAAATTGTCTCATAATTATTGACATCCCCAGATTATGATCATGTAATTGCTATCTTAAGATGAATTCACTTTATGTAAATATATTACAAGTATAGTTACGTAGTCTCGTCTTGCAACAGGTGGCAATTTTGGAGGCAGTCCTGGTTATGGAGGAGGAAGAGGTGGATATGGTGGAGGAGGACCTGGGTACGGCAACCAGGGTGGGGGCTACGGAGGTGGCTATGACAACTATGGAGGAGGTAATGATTACGTTATTTAAACATACATTTGAAATGAGAAGAGTTTCCAAAACTGGTTAAGAAATATTTATGAATCATAAATAAATTTCAAAAAATTAATTTGGCTTTTCACAAAAAATTATTGAAGTTAATGGTCAACAATGTCCATAAATTATTTTTATATATTTTATATTCTTTCATTCTACATATGTAAAACTCAAGTAATAAGAACAAAGTTAGCATATAGTAAAAATATTTATAGTCTATATAAATAAAAATGTAAATGTTCGTTTGTTCAAAATCTTAAATCTCTGAAAGTTCTTCACTGATTGCTTTGAAATTTTGACACAACGTTGCATTCGAATACGCGCATGTTTTTATATACCTACTATTATATAGATGTCACACCTGTGACACAAATGTGCGCTTTCTCTTTCTTTTCCATTTAACCAGACTGAGCCACAGCAACGCGTGGCCGGGTACAGCTAGTGTAAAATAAAATTCTACTAATAGTACAAAATATAATGGTATAATGCAAGATCATGTAGAAATGCAAAAAACAATGCCCAAACCCTTCTTGTATTGTCAGTTTTCTTCGCTTTCTTGTTAAAAACAGGTGTTTTGCATGTTTGTTTACACATCTTGTATTCACAGTAAAATTATCTTTGAAATGAACAAAATACTTCTTTATGCAGGCAATTATGGAGGTGGGAATTACAATGACTTTGGAAACTATAACCAACAGCCTTCAAACTATGGTCCAATGAAAAGTGGAAATTTTGGTGGAAGCAGGAATATGGGAGGACCATATGGTGGAGGTAACATGTTGAACAAAAAAGTATTTTCGTATTTCTTTGCCTTTGTTGATTTCACTAACAAAAACAGCAAGTGAGATAGATCTATTTTTCTAAGCTGCTCTTTTCTGTTAATATAAGCCAATAGGTTAACTCTGTCCTCTGAAATAATATTCCTCCCAAGATTTAAACAGCTATCCTATGTATATTTTGTACCCCTATAGTAAGTTTATTTAGTAGAAAATAACTTGAGTTGGACAGTCCTGAACATTCTTTATGTATTCAGTTATTTTTAAAGTTTTCCTTGGTTAAATAAAATTATAAGTGATATGTTCATTTAAAGCATTTTATTCTAGGAATATAATATATTCCTAGAATTAAAGTGTTCACATGTGACATGAGTATCAAAATGATTCTAAAATGAAAGTGTGATTTACAAGTGATAACTAGATATGGTAAATTTGGTAATAATCAAATTAGAATGCTTGCTTTTCTGCAAGCAGCAATCTGGCAATTCCTAACATTTCACAAAATAAAGAGAAATTGCTTAGGAAAAAGTTACGTTACTAATTGATTTCTGTTTTTACTAACACAGGAAACTATGGTCCTGGTGGAAGTGGTGGAAGTGGGGGATATGGAGGGAGGAGTCGTTATTGAACTTCTGTAAGCTTTTCATGGGTGAGTGTACATTTAATACTAAAATTGCAGTTTTCCTTAGTTTTAGCTGCAGGGGTAAAAGCTTTTTAGGGTCATATTATCTTTCCTTTAAAAAAAAAATTGGGATAACTTCATAACCTATTTTTTTACTCTTTACTTCTGTTGAAACAGGCTTCACTGTATAAATAGGAGAGGATGAGCCCAGAGGTAACAGAACAGCTTCAGGTTTTCGAAATAACTTTGTTAAGGAAACACTTATCTCAGTCATGCATAAATATGCAGTGATATGGCAGAAGACACCAGAGCAGATGCAGAGAGCCATTTTGTGAATGGATTGGATTATTTAATATCATACCTTACTGTGGAGGAAGGATTGTAAAAATGCCTTTGAGACAGTTTCTTAGCTTTTTCATTGTTGTTTCTTTTTAGTGGTCTTTGTAAGAGTGTAGAAGCATTCCTTTGATAATGTTAAATTTGTAAGTTTCAGGTGACATGTGAAACCTTTTTTAAAAAAATTTCTCTAAAAGTTTTGAAAAGCTATTAGCCAGGATCATGGTGTAATAAGACATAACGTTTTCCTTTGAAAAAATTTTAAGTACGTGTGTAGAGTTAAGAAGCTGTTGTACATTTATGATTTAATAAAATAATTCTAAAGGAAATGTTGTGTAATTATAGATTTATTTAAAATATATTGTAAATTAAGGCAAGGAGTGGGTAGTAGAAGGTCCCACAAATACTATAAAGTTGTTGTTGTACATGTAAAATGCTGGTTAGATAATGTTTTTTTTTTGTAAATTACCAGATTAATATCTAGATAACTTAAGGGATATCTCTGCAAAGAGAAACACCTTTTTAGATCTTTTAGATGCTGCTTCTTCAATGGCAAGTAAAGGAAATATCCCCAGCGAGGTACTGTTCCAGGGACACAGGTCTAGTGCAAAAGAACTCTTGAGAACGGCAATTAAGTTCAGCCAGTCTTAAAAGCTGTGCTGTACTTCCGCAAAGCTTTAACTACGGTAGTTTTAAGGATGCCAACGAGAGCTGAGGGTTCTAGAGCAAAATAGTTCTAAGCTTCAGTTAAACTACTTTAGGTAAGATCTTATTTACTTTTACTTTTTTAATATTCCAAAAACAAGAAACTAATATATGACAGTGTACTGTTTCAGTATAGTGGTTATAATATCTAGTTTAACATAGCAATGAACCAAGTTAACAATTGTGCACTGGAAAATTTAATAATTCTTGTTTTGATTTGGGGGTTTGGGTATTCTGTTTTCCATTTGTTTGTTGGTTTTATTTTTTGCTGTTATGTTTTGATTTATTTTTAACTTCAGCTGCTTAACCTATCTCTTTCCTACTGGAATCTAGCTTTATGCATCATGGACAAGCAATAGACCTGCTGAACAAATGAACCAGCCAAGTGTCCATTAATGATTTGCAAGGGTTCCATCCCTGCTATGGGTAGTTAAAATGGTATGTTTTTAAAATGGTACAATACCTTGTTTTTACCCATTCTTATTTGTTAAAACCTAAAGTTGAAAACTATGGCTCTTCAGAATAGGGCAGTGGGATATCTGTTGTTCGATACAACGTATTTTAGTATTATAGAACTTGTGTTTGAATTTTATGTGTGAAAGTGAAGTTTATGCAGCCTTTGCATACAGAATTCTTCCCCTCACTGGTCTTGTCAGCACTATAGCAATATGAATTTAGTGAATTGAAGTACAATGTGGTATTCAAATTCAACTAGCTCACAAGTGTTTTCATTACATATATTCTAATGCACAATGTAAAATTCTGTTATTGAATGCTTACTGTAGTTACCTTCAATATGGTGGACATGGAATCTTGTTTTAGAGGGATATTCTGTTTAATATAAATTAATACTTTAATTCCAAAATCTTCACAATTTTAAACACTCTTATACTGCCCTTTAAAAGTTCTATGTTGCTTTGTACAACACACACACTTAAAAGCCTGGCCTTGCCTCATCTGTTTTCTAGCCATTTGCTGAATTTTTTCCTGTGATACAAAGAGGCTTCTGATAAACTTCTTCAGATACTTTCTTTTTCTTTGGCAGGAAGGTGCCAATGCTGCAGGTAACTAATGAAGAAGTGCTCAACCACAGAAACTTCAAGAAATAAGATATTTCTTTATTCTTCATAAAATAGTTGGTTTTGCTGATTTTTATTAAACCCTTTATAGTTGATTATTTTAGTTGCAGCCTATTGTAATTTAATTTCAAAAGTTTACAAAATGAAGGCAGACATTTTCTAGAATTCAGACTGACAGGAAGTCAAGACTAATGTGAATATTTGATTTTTATAAGTGTTATAATAAACTTTTGTTTAAAAAATATTCCTAGTCTGATACCATATTACCATTTTATGCGCATCCCAAATGATAAAACAGTTCTTCAATGCAGTGTGAGCTGTACCACATTACATATTTTTGGCATCATTGTATGTATTAATAATTTACGGCTGTAAGATAAAAAAAATAGCGCAAAATACCACTAAGAAGAGAGGAAATATACTATGCTTAACTACAGAGTTTTTGGGATCATATCTATCCTGTCTTATCTTCCTTTATGCCCAGTGACATAGTATAACCTAAGCATAGAACAATGAAGAATCAGCTGCAGAAATAGTGCTATGAAAGTCAAATATAACTGGGATATACTACAGCATCCTACAGAATGGGACATACTGTCCCTTAGCACCTTAATGCAGATGTTACTTTTTTTGGCATCAAAGAAAAAACATTGCCTATACTGCTAGAGAAAGCAACAATATTCTGAAAAGGTGCTTTTTCAGTGAAAATTGGTAAGAAACTAGATGGAATCTAGTTACAAAAAAAGGGGCAAAATGGCTGGTAATTTTATTTGTATATATCCTTATGTTTGAATACATAATGCAATATATACAATAGCAACTGCAAAAACATCAGGTATAATGCATGGAAAGATTAAGTGTATTTACCTGGTATAATTCTGTTCTGCCCCTTTTTAAGAACTAAAATTAATTTTAAAGCTTCGTAGAAGATAATATTGCTGCCAATTTTTTCAGTACATTTGAAGTATTATAAATAGGAAAGTAAAATCAGTGGAATATAGTTAACTTGGTCTTTGAAGGTAATGATAAAATAATCACATGCCCATTATGAACCCTAATTCCTCTTAAGGCATATTTTATGAAAGACATTGAAATAAATGGCTGTATTAACGTTTGAAGTACGAGGCAGTTACAGGTAGTTCTTGACTTAAGATTGGATGCTTAGCAACTGCCACAAATTTTTTAACATTGGGCAGTCACATGATGACCTGCTTAACAACTAGGTCATAGCTTTGTATTTTATATGTAGTAAATATTTTTACAAACACAATAATATGGGAATCTTAAGTAGATTGGAAAGGATGCATATGTTTGTACCAGAGGGAGATTTGTATAAAATACTTTCCCCCAATTATTATCTTCTATTTTAAACAGCATTAACTCTTAATAATTTATCAAAGAAAAATGTTTGTATCCCAAGATTATACATTAGTCATTACATGGTTATTTGTTTTTAAAAGTAGAGATACATATATTTTTAAAATACTTTTTTTGAATTTTCTAGCTAAACCAGCACAATCTAGGCAAATATGTATTGGTTCACTGGACAGTGCATTTTACAGTAGTGTACAGGACTATCATTGGATTTAAGAAGAAGAAACCCCCCCCCCCCAAAAAAAACATAATGGCATCTGTAAATATAAATTGTATAAATACATATATAAACTGAATTTTCTGTAAACTAAAAGTAATTCTGTGCTATTTCTTGTAGCTTATTCAATATATAAATATAAGCTCTTGCAAATCAGTGCTCATGGAACTTATGGGTAGAATTGTAATATTAACACCTCAGGAATTTTCCCAATGTAAAATAGTATTGCTAATGTCTGGAAATATGAGATATTTGTAATGTGCGTGTTTTGTTATACTGTTTCCAAATAAGTAGCACAGGTAGTAGTATTTGGGCTACAGCAGCAATTGGAACTGGAACTTATGTCAATGATGCAGTCATAAAGCATCATAACCTGAGGACTGCATGGGTTAAGCAAGGACCATCATGATTGCTAGGGGGGCACTTTGGGTGGTGCTGTATAGTATAAATGGGTAAAAAAATAGGTACGGGAAGCAGGGACGGTTACAAATGCAGTCACATGACAATGGATCACTAATCAAGTATATGCCAGTTGTCAAGTGGCCAAATTCTGATAACATGACCATGGGATGTTATGGTTATGTGAGGGTTGGTCATAGGTAACTTTTCAGTGCTGCTGTAACTACAGATTGTAAGTTGAGGACTATCTACACCCTGGAAATGAATAATACACTCTCAATTTCAAAAGCTGTATATAACTCATGCAAAAGTGATGCTTAATAACTTTCTAAGCAGAGCATGGAAAGTACAGGCAGTCCTCGACTTACGAGCCCAATTGAGCCCAAAATTTCTATTGTTAAGTGAGTTTTGCCCCATTTAACAACTTGTCTTGCCATAGTTGCTAAGTGAATGCAATTGATGTTAGTAACCTGGTTATTAAGTGAATCTGGCTTTCCCATTGACTTTGCTTGTCAGAAGGTTGTAAAAGGGGATCACGTGACCTTGGGACACAGCAAAGGTCATAAATATGAACCAGTTGCCAAGCATCTGAACTTGGATCATATTCTGGGGATGCTACAAAGATTGTAACTCTGAAAAACAGTCATAAGTCACATTTTTCAGTGCTGTTGTAACTTGAACATTCACTAAATAAACTGTTGTAAGTCAAGGATTACCCGTAAAGCAAATGTCAGAAAGGGGGGGGGGCTAGTCCCTATACTTAAGCCCCAGCTGCCAATAGCTAGTGAAGGCCTGTATGGATTACTCTTGGGAACATCCATAGTCCCAATATACATGAAAAGCAGTAATGGTTTTGTGCTACTTTTAAAAATTCCATTATTTGTAACTAATGAAATTGCAGGTGATAGGATTTTCTGTGGACATGTAGTTAGCATATTATCATAAGCATACATGCGTAAGCTGAATAAATTCTGCAGAATAAATACAAAATGAGTTCAGTCCATGTTAAAGTTGTTTGGGTTGAAATTCTTTAAAACAGTAAAACAATTAGGCAAGGGATACAATTCATGCTTATACTGGCTTGCAAATGCAATCCTTAAACACCATTATTAAAACATTTAAAATTTTTGTCTATCATTATTTCAGTTTGGGGGCTCTGGTTGGCTTCTTTTTCAGGTAAAATTAATATAGTACCATTTCCACAACACTGAAGGGCACATTGGCTTGTATTAATTGTTCCTTGGTTATCTCTCAATTTACTGAAAAGGTTCCAGCAAAGATCATTTAATTTTTGTTTTATATTGCTAATTGACCTTTTGTATTGTGCCTTCTGTTTCTCAAGCTTCTCCATTTGCATCTGAAGATGATGCACTTCATCTTTAAGGTTCATAATTGCATCTAGTTTACGTTTACGGCAGTTTTGAGCAGCGACTTTATTTTTTCCTCTTCGTCTTATGTCACGAATGAGTGACAGTTGATTATCTGTTAGATAGTAATTTGATAACATGCTATTAAAAGACTCTACAGGCAAGGTCACTATATCATTAACAGAGAATGGAATTCTTAGAGCTTCATCATTTAGAGTTATATCTTTTTCATTTTCAGTTCTTTTGGATTCTTCTGGCCATCTGAAATAATCCTCTGACATTGAGAATGTCAGCTGTTGGAAATCCTGATTGTATGTGTGATCGTGGAATATACCTGCTAGTGATTTTGTCCTATGGTCATATGTGCTTTGATACTCTGTATGGCAACATTGTAAGCAACTATCTCCTACAGCTCCTGAGTAATCTGATGCGCCAAAGTTGGCATTCTTGTTACAGGAAAACACAAGGGATGCATTATTATAATTTAAGTCTAAAGAAAATCCAGAATCTGAATCACGTTCTTCAAAAACACAAGTTTCTGCAAAATCAAAATTTTCTTCCATTGTTAATGACGTGAAATGAATTGTCTCATATCCATTTCCATTCAGGCTGAGAAAGCAATCTTGGTTTGTAAGACTTCTGCAGCAATGATCATTTGCAAATAATTCTAACATGTTGGTCTCGTTCGTTGGAGATGTATTTAAGTCGGGTAGAATCTCCAGTCCCTCTAAAGTGGTCTCTGCATCTATTACATTAGGGAGGTCTGATCCCATCACCGTGGCATGAAGGCTCACATCATGGCTAATAGCTTGGGCCAAATCTATAGGTCTCTTAAAGTTTGTCAAATCCACACTTCTGCTGTTCGCTTGTTCCTTAAAGGGTGCAAAAAAGTTTGTATCGTGTAAGTCATTTGAAAATATTACCAGGTTGAACATAGATTCAAAGGTTTTCTAGAACAGTCAATTACAGTATTTGCAAAAAGGTCCTCAGTCTATTACCACGTTTTTGCTACAGGACTGCAATGAATGCAAGACTAACTGAAAATTACAACAGCATTTTTGCTGTCATCTTGAAGAAAAAGACATACCATCTATACCTGTCGTGCTGAAATTGGTCAGTATTGGGGACTGCATTAGGACCAGTATTCAGCATAGCAACTCTTCAGCTCTGGCTTTAGTAAAAACTGCTATTTCATCAATTATAATTTAAAAATATTAAAGTTAAAAAGTTGGTTGTAATAAATTATGACTCCAAAGGATTTAAAGCAATATGTGTCACCGTATCTACATTTCTCTGGTAAAAACAGGCAAACAGATGGGTTAACCAGTGACTGAACAGGTGCAATTCAGGATGCTAGTTTTCTCCTAGGAGAAAAATTTACACAACTCATAGAAAATATACTATCACATCTGTTAGCTATTACACAAATTAACCAATGCTAAACCACTGGACAAGCACAGACCATTTTCAGAGGAGTAGGATGTCTTTCTAAAAGAATAGTGCTTCCCTTAGAAAATACACTGGTTTTTTAAAAAGTATAGTTAACTGAATTTTTAAAAATGTTTTGAGATTTTAAGTCAGCAACTTAAAACATTTAGAAACTGAAAAGGGAAAAGTTATTTAGTTAATATAATTTAGATAAATAGGTACAACTACATTTTTAAATTCTTTTAATGTCCTAATTATAAGGAAGAATAGGTTTGTTCTTTATTCTCACCAAGATGATAGAAGTGAGCTTCTCCCTCTCCTTCCAATCAGCTTCACTCTGATCACACACTTGTTTTTCTTCCTCTGGAGTTTCTGAGTGCTCATTTTCCTTTGGTAATAAATAGCAGCAGTCCAAGTATTCCTGCCTTCCTTTTAAATCTAAAACCTATAAATGGAAGAAAACAAATTTATTAAAATACTTTCAGCACTGATGGTCACTAATACTTCAAAATGTAAAGTATAACATGCAGTTTTAAGCAATAGTTAATTCTTCTGACCATCCCCAACATTTTGGTCAAAATTAAAAAGGGCATGCTTTAACAATGTTCTTTATACAAAATGACTCGAGACATCTCAGATATTTATGATGAATAATCAAAATTTAAAACTTACTTTTGCCAGAGAGCTTCATATATCTTGACCAGAATTTAACACTTCACCTCTTTTTGCTAATTAGATTCCAAAAACTGTTAAGGAAAAGCATAGCCCCAACATGTTAAGATGTTTGATTGGCTTTCTTGTCTATAGTGACTCAATAGGCTAATATGGCACTTCTACAATAGGTATCCATGGTATGGTACCCTACAGCTGTTGTGGGCTTTTAAAGCCCTAAAGCAGGGGTGTCAAACTGGCGACGTCACGTCGCATGACACATCCGGCCCATGGGCCGCTAGTTTCACACCCCTGCCCTAAAGAATCATCAATTGAGCCACAGTGATGATTTTCTTTTAGGTACGCAGAAGTTCTGATTTGCTTGGCCTGTGCCTATTGGGGGGATATGTATCCGAATTCCTTTAGCTGCATGGAATGGCATGCACTTACAGAGCTTCAAATGAACAATGTGACAAAATTTGGTTCCCTTTTGAAGGAGTAAAACATTTTTTATATTGTTGGGATTTCCTATGGTCTGTATTTTTATTATGTATGAGTTTTTAACATATCTTTAGCTTGGAATTGAAAGGAGAAGGGCAGGAACATTTAAAATTAACCAGTCAGCAAATATACTTAAATTGCTTTTATGTATGGTGTTTGATAAGAACCTGTATGATAGAACAGAGAATGTTAGAAGCTATGTCTCAAATAAGCAATGTGGATCTTCTATCTTTTTTCCAGCCCTCCAGTTTATATGCTCATGAAAATTTGTTATTAAGTAGATTGAAAAATTACTCATTTCTTTAAAAATCACTCATATCTTGCACCACTTGAAAGATTGCTCTAGATTAAGGTGGAGAAACTTGTTTTACAGCTTACCATAAAAGCAACAGAACTGGAAACAGCCAAATAAATACTTTTTCAAAATGCCATTTACAGCAGGTAAAAAAACATTTTAAACCAGAAATAGTGTACAATTTACATAAAATCATCTTTGTATCTGAAAATCTACATTAATACTTTTATACTAAATCTGAATTTCTTGAAAAAATCCTATAAAATCAGTATTTTAAAAGCTTAGAAATTGGATGTCTTTTAAGCATTATAAAGTACAATATATGTCAAGATGATTAAATGGGATGGGACAGTACAATGTAAAAGCAATATATCTTATAGGACTTTCTGCATGGACTATTTTCTTGGTAAGAATTACAATAACTTGCCTAAGGTATAATTTCAGTATAAATTCAGAACAGGACATAAATAATGAATCTATATTACTGCTGAAAATGATTTTAGGTTTGTAGGACAAAACGTATCTCTCTGTGCAGGAAAGCTTCATATTTGTTATATTTTAATATTATCTCCTAAATTCTTTGCAGGATTATGGTTAATATGTAAACCTGACACAATTGTCTTGCAGCTTCATTTAAATATAGTAGTCCCGATCTGCAAACATTCTGAATTCTTTATCAAGAGATTAAATAGAACCAAATAATAGGGGCAAATGACACTGGCCAGATTTTGTGTTTATTAACTGGTTGAATCAAACTTTGATGGCCCATTGGCATCCCTATTGATAACTTTGTATCAAGATGGGAGTAAGCTGACATTGCAGCCTTTATTTTCTCTTTTCTGCTGTAGATCTAGACCAGACATGTCAAACTTGCGATGTCGCGCAACGTATCGGAGCTTTTTCTCCATTGCAGGCAATGGGGTGGGCGTGGTTTCCCGATGATGCATCCGGCCCATGGGCCGGCAGTTTGACACCCCTGATCTAGACAAAACCAAAGATTCACACAAACAAAAAAAGCTTAGCAAAAATGTTTTAAAATACTTCAAACTAGTGTTGGAAATGCAAACAAAGACCAGGTACATATTACCATATCTGGTGGACATGCCCTAAAGCAAAAAGATTTTGGTTAAAAATACATTTATGTATTTTTAGAAAATAATTAAAAAACAAATAGACTTTAAGCCAGAATTATTTTTGTTAAAAATAATGGGAGCAAATTATGAGAAAGACTATATATTTAATTCTACACGTGCTAACTGCAGCAAGAGTTATATTTGCCCAACATTGGAAAAATGAAAATTTACCAACTGAAGAATTAAAAATTTTTTAGAGTGTGCAGAAGTGGATAGGTTGATTAGAACATGGGATAATTTTTATCGATGGCTAGAAAAATGAGTTAGAAAGAAATGTGATGTAACTGAATATATATTAGCAAGAAGACGATTGAACGATTAACATTGTTTATGATAATTAACTACTCATTGTTTTTTAAATACACACACATATATATATGTATGTATATATATGTGTGTGTGTATGTGTATGTATATACATACACACACACACACGGTGGGCTTCTTCCTAGAAATCTTTCAGACCTACAAACTACCTGTTCAATCTTAGCAACTATGCAAAGATTTAAAGCCCATTTTAATATTCTATCCCTGGCAGCCTTAACAGTTTTCACAAAATCTCATTTAACAAGAGAATGTTGTTATGATTCTATGGTGAGAATGAATCTCAAACCTTAAGTGTATTCTTTCAGTGAAATCTTACACTATATTTCTACCAATTTCAAGCAGAAATCAAGTTTTTAATTAGTTTTTTCTCTTAAACCATAACCCTGCTATTATAAACAGAGATCCCAAGTTCTTACCAGCACTTAAGATTTAAGATGTCCTAATCCTGGAAGACTTATCACATTTTTTTGTCTTTATTTTTATCTATTTTGTTTTGTTCTATTTTGTTTACTGCTTATATTGTGTAAATTTTGCCAGGTCTATATATAGATTTTATTGCTCATTGTACTGGAGGCTTCTGTGTTGTTTTTATTGTTATAGCTACTTCACTGGTCATTGACCATAGATAAATCCAATTTCAAAATAGGGAAGGTAGGTCATTTCTTCTGGAAAAAATAAAATGCAACAGCAAAGAGACTGTCTGTTTCCCATGTTACTTATTCATTTGGAAAAAGTATGTGCCCCTAATTTGAAAAGCAATCCTTGATATATATCCTTGATATGCGTTGTTCTGATACCGATTGGTTTATAGTGTGGAACAGCAAAACGTAGCCAATTTAAAAGATGATCTATATTTTACATGTTATCTCTTATTTCTAAGTATCGGTCTCGCTCAGTTCCAAACATGATTTTATTATTTATTCTGTATGGTATCTTTACATTGGAAATAAATTTCTTAAATGTAGAATTTTTTTCTGCAAATTCATATAGGATTTGATTGTAAGATAGGTAAACCTGGATCTGTGTTTTATTTAAAACAAAAGGAATGCGAGAGAAGGAAGTAAAGATAGAATAAACTCCCCTTTCACAGCAGGTTTCAGTACAGGGACAGTTGAATGTAACATCCAAACCCACACCCAACCATTCTGGCATCACTCTGATACATTTCAGGCAAATAATAAGTTGCCACACCACAATCACATTCTAAATTAAAGAATTTCTTCCAAACCTAATCCTGAATACAGCACAAATACATGGCAGTGAAGAAAGAATAGCTTCTGAACATGTGCAGACTAGTCTTAACAAAAAAAAAGTAGTAGGATAACTTGCTTAATCTTCAAGCCTTCCAAGACAGGATAAATTTTCAAATCTCATAATCAACAGGTTGCTTGTCATTGTCAAGTTACCTGGAGGTAACAGGAAACCTGAAAGTTAGGGAAGGCTGGACTAGGAAAAGCAAGTAGAACTGCCTCCCACATTTCTTGCAAAACAAAAACAAAAAACTGCAGCATATTACAGTGAGCTACCCAGGAATTCTTATACTACCTTTTGTTCCAGACTGTAAGAAGCTAATGAGGTATTAAATCCTATCTAATCAATGTATATCCATAAACTCTGGAGACCATCATTTCAAGGAATACAACCTGCAAGATGAACTGCATCTAACCTAAGAAGAACACTTCAGCCTGGCCCGAAGAAATAGTTAAATGCTTGCTGACCACTCCCTGTTTCTGCCACTGAATTGATTTATGTCCTTCCTTTCATTTATTTTCTAGGATCTGTGTATGTTTGTCTCCTTTTTCACAGAAAAACCCCTTGCTTTGGAGCAAGACAATCTCATATTAGTCCCAGGAGTAGGATAGCATTGTTATAAAATGAATAAATAACCATCCTTAACCTGGATTGTTTGTATCTGACATTGGTCTTTCTACTTCCAAATACTGGAAATCAGTGCTCCCTTAGTCATTTGACCAGTCTGAATTATTTTCCCTGCATGTGTAAAATGAAGAAAAAGGAGGAAAAGCTTCTATCTCCTGTAAATCATATATCTATTTACTTACCCTTTTCTATATCAAATTATTCACATTTAATACAGTTTTCTTAACAAAAAATGGGAAAGTAAGCATGCAAGTACTGTATTCGCAGTCCAAAGTTTTAAATAATCCTCCAGTTGGGACTCCTGGCAAAAAAAATATTGGAAGACAAGAACCAGAATAGGATGGAGAGAGAATGGGTAACCGTGTCCCTTGCTAGTCTTCAGGATGCTCTGACAGTTGGGTTTGGAAGGAGCAGGAATCCCTCGCCATGACCTGCATAACAGGCTGGTTTTAATTCCATTTCCATCACGTGAAAATATGATTGTCGTTTCAATGTTAAAAGGTGGAGGCTAGTAAAACCTGGTAAACAGAAGATCTGATTAAGCACGGTGCTTTTCAAGCTTTTAATACACCAGTGACTAGCACTGATGATGTTACCTAGTTAGGGTAATGAAACGTCTGCAAGAAAACAAGCAAGCTCAGAGAGCACCAAGGACCCCCTCATTTCAATCCTGAGCTACAAATATTCTCTTTATGGGTTTAATACCTCCGTTGCGCTCCATTTTTCCAATTTCTCTCTACTCAAGTGGGCGCGGTGGATTGGCTAGAAGCGTTTGCCCGCCCTTGATTTACCTTCGAATTGCAGCCTCGCTTTTTCTCTCCAGAATCAGGCAAGGCGACTCCCGCCTCCAGGGTCTCTTGGGTTGGCTGCAGCCACCGGCTTTGCCCCTGGGCTGCCACGAAGAACTCTCGCGCCTCCCGACAGTGCCTACTCTCACGGTCTGCCGTGTCTGAGGTGGGGAGCGCCGGAGCCTTGTCCTTCTGCGCAAGCCAAGGAGCCACTCGTGTGGCGGGAAAGCTTAGCGTCCCCAGCGCTTGCACCTCGCGGAGGCGGAGACATTGCTCCAGCACCTTCGAGTCTTCCTCGTGAGAGAAGAACGGCATCCCCGAAGGAAGCTTTCCCCGGAATGCCACAAGGGCGAGGCTAAGCACCCAATCTTCCTCTGAAGCGTGGCGCCAGCCCCCGCTCAGGGTTTTCATCCCGCTTTCCTGCACCCGGCTTAGGACCTGAGCGGTGCGTGCGTGCGTGGGGAAGCTGCCCGAGGGCAAAGCAAATCAGAGCCCGACCGTCGCAGCCGTTCCGTCCTCCTCTTCTGCCGTTTCTTGCTTGTCTCTACTTCTATGCACATATACCATGGCCGCCGCGAAGTCTTTTTTGGGGCGGAGGAGCGTCCGGGAGGCGGGAGCGCCCAACCAGTTTTTCGTTGCGGTTCCGCCACGGCCATCCTCAACCTGGACTCTTTCGCCATTAGAATTAGACGGGAAGGGGAAGCAAGAAGACGAAGGTCAGAGACCAACACACATGTAAAGGGGAGTCAAAAGGATTGGCGGCAGATGGCGGTGGAACAGAAAGGCTCATCAAGCTTGTTAACTTGTTCCCCTTCAGACGTGCGTTGGATTTCCTTGTTTCCAAACGCCACAATTCGCACTAACTCAAAGGGTTTTCCGTTTCTAGAAGACGGCTGGGCTGTGCTCGCCAGCACTGCATTTGCAGTCTTAAAAGTTTTTTTTTCAGATTTTAAGTGAGGGGGGTGCGCGCTGAAGGCCAAAATAGGTGTCCTTCCTACTGAAAAGACCCTTTAAAGCCCAAATGGAGGGAAGATCTAAACATTTGGAGCCCACCCAATCCAGCGATGTCATAACGATGACAGTGTATAAATCACAGGCATGTCTGTGCATCCCTTTCCAAGACACATGCAGAAGCTTTGTTACAGACCATCAAATTTAGATAAACTAAACTGCATAGCATTGTGCATCTCATGAAATTTGAATGTCCTATAAAGCGATTGACACAATGTGCGATGGCTACTGTCACTACGCTGAATACATTTTCACCTTGATGCTATAAAAGAGTAGGAATTCTGTGGATATGTGTCAGGTTAGGAAATATTTGGGGAATCTTCATAAAGTGGGCTAAGAATTTGGGTTATTATATACAGATGAATCAATATGTGCTTAAATGAATTGAATTTTACATTATTCTATGATTTTAAAGAAAAATAATGAGGTATCATTGGTACATAACCCCATATATGACCCTGAAAGTACATCTATAAAAAGCTAAACAAAATTGGATTCAAATACACTGATACACAGGATTTTTAAAGACTAATATTCAATTAAAAACAGAAATTTTCCTGTTAAGATTGATAGATAAACAGAAAAAGCCATAGAAGATTATTTCAGTATATGATTACTGTGGTGAGATTACTATATGCATAAGGAAAGAAAGATTGGACACTACTGTGAGAAAGGAAGAAGTTTAAAAATAAAACGGTCACCATTGATTAACAATAGAAGGATTAGCCAAGCCCTGCAGGTAGGCACTAGATTCCAGGAGGCTTGGCTAGAAGACACACTTAACAAGACAAAAGGATGGCAGAGAGAAGTTCTGAACAATGTAACTGAGGGGGAGGGATGATGTATTCTGGCTAGGCGGA